GATGATCGGTCCTACCGGAACACCCTTCTCCGACCGTATTGCTTCGATTACTCGACTCAACAGACTCACGTCGCGCCAACGCACTTCTAGTCTAAGAAATTTCTAGTCTAGACTAGTAAGATATTTCCGCTTGTTGCTAAGAGATGGCCTTACTGCCTATGATTGAGTTGTTTACTAGAACTAAATAGGTACCCAACTAACACTCTCTCGCTTGTCTAGGCACGCGATTCTTTCTGTGACATATTGCGATCTCGAGCCGTAGTGATACGGCCCAGGAGCGGATGCCGTCCGCGGGCCGTATCTTTGATACGACTGAACTAGAACTCTGCGACTCTTCCCTTTTGAATTTGTGAGTTTTGACAATTAGTTTAAAAATAATCCACAAGTAGTATTTTTGGATCAATAGTCAGTCATTTTGATTTGTTAGAGAAGTTAAATAGTTATTATTTTGGTATCTCGGCATTGGTAGTATTTTTGTTATTTCAGCTACATATTGCAGATACCTATAGGACATTGACTGCATTGTATATTAAAGGATTTGTTTATTAAAATGCCCCAGTTCACTCGAAATCTTATGAGAAATTAGACAAAAGTTATTTTATTCATCCTATATTTATTCTTTGAAACGAAACTAAATTCATTTTTATCATTATTACACTGTGCACATCGCGAGGTTTCTTAGAGTTACCAAGTCCGAATCAACATTTGAAATCAATATCAAAATTCTAACCTCTAGATTAACCATTCATCCAATACATGTGTTTACATTTCTTTATCTACCTCAGATGATACATTGTTGTGGCATCCGTATGTAATCGTAATTGGCATTTGAGAAAGCAGTTAGCCTCATCTGCATTTTCTTAACGTAATCAATAAACGATTCAAAAATAAAAACAGCAGACAACCTCCAATAAATGAATTGAATATTTAAATTATTGAAAGTTTCCACGTGCACTACCTGTTGACAACAAAAATTACATCATAAGTTTATCCCTGTATGTGAATCGAATGTGTTATCGGTAATTATGCTAATCTGTTTGCACATTGAGTTCTAACTAAATCAGTAATGAAAATTTGATTGTTAAATTGTTAGAGTTGGAATGAATAAAAGAATATTAACACTTTGGAACGAACGATCGAGATATACAGTAGTGTGTGTTTTTTTATTAACAATTTTCAAGAAAAATCTTGAAATAGGTACATAAAATCTTATAGAATTACGGTGGCCATGTTTGGCAAGTGTCTTACTCCGAAACATTGAAATAAGACATTTGCCTTATTGCCTCTTCAGCACGAATCTAAATAACATTAAGAAATGAAGTCCTGAATTCGTTCATGAAATTACGACTTTTAATCACGGAATAAGTTGAATCCACTCATGTCATTCATGACAGTGAGTAACATTCATTCGCTTATTTGATTAATTCCCAGTCACAGAAATCTTTTTTTTATTTACATTTATTTGATGCCGCATCAACCTCGAGGGTTATTAGCGATAATTCAAATTTTATAGTGAGGATTGTTCCAAATTCTTGAGGTTCTTGTTGAATATTCTTCGTGAGCAAAACAATAGCAGAATCAATACTTCTGACCGCTCTGGATTGAATGATTCCATACAGTCCATCTCGTCCTGTATTTGTAAATCTTTTGCTGGAAAAATCTTCACTTGTTTACTTTGTAGTAAATGTACAAGCGGTAGCAAAAACGTATGTGAATTTCTGAAACTTCAACTAGCGTTTCCTAATATGACTAATAACCAGTCCGTGCAAAGCTTATTGTTGAATCATGTGAAAATGGAACTTTTAACAGGTGATGATCGACTGTATTGCCAAACAAGCGCAAAACTGACTGTTATAACAAAACAAGTATAACTGAGGCACCAGTCAATCTAATAATAACACTGACGATCTTCAAACAAGACTCAACCTCTGACGAAAGCAAGAAACTCTTAAGAAGGTTCGAAATAGATGGACATTTCAATCTAGCAGACCACTTCATACAGTCATTGTTCACTGTGGTTCTGGCGTTGAATCTGGTCATTATTACGCCTTGGTAAAAGACCAATCAATATCTTCCGATGATGTGCTGCAGGTTTTTCCGGGTTTTCCTGCAGCTGAAAAAGCAAATGCGCCACTGGAATCGATTAACTCGCCCTGGAGCGCAAATTAATTTTTCTTGTTGTTTTATATATGTAATATATTGGAGAGTTTAATATCATTTCGAATGCTAATCGCCTTCAAGGTATCTTTTTTTCTCCCGAATATGTTACCATTCCTCACCCAAACATATTTGAAATGTTTATCCTTCGCTACTTCTTTGATGCGTTTTAACAAAGTTTTCAGATACGTTTTCGATAGCGAGCCCGGCAGTATTACATGTATTGCTGCCAGTATTCAATCTTTCTTATGTTTTGTTAACATTCTAACTACAATGAACTCAGATTTATCTGAGGGGGGAAGGGGTGAAACTCGATAAAAAGTATTTACATCCGAATCAACAATCGGACATTGGATATGATCTCCAATCTTATTCAAGACTACTAATAAATTTTTGTTATCCTTATATAGAACACCCTGAATTTCTATATTATTTTCCTGAGCTTGCTTCTCCAAGAAATCAACTTCACCTGATTGTGAGAATATTCTCATCTCAGAATGACAGTTTCCGTTCTCGAAAGATGTTACTTTTCCGTTCATTTTATTCAGAGTGGCGTCAAAAGTAGTATGCAATTTGATTGCAACAGAAATTGCAATACGTTCTCGTATTTTCTATTCAGGCCTCTTCGGTCCTCTTGAATATCTTTTAATATTGAAGTTATCGAGTTTTTCATAGTTGCAATTTTGTCCTAACGCTACTTCAATTGAAGAGGAGATGTGGTACTCGACTCTCTCGTTGTAGTAATAAGATGCGCACCCAGAAAAAATGTGTTTGACACTTATGGCATAGTCACAAACTTCACATGTTGGAGGGTTATTACCGTTGAGGATTTATTCATGAGTGAGGCGAGTGTACCCTAGTCGTGACAGGTGAACTTGCAATTTTCTCGTTTTTGAAAGTGATTTCCAGGGTAAGACCAATGGTTTAATTGCTGATAACTTAGAAGTGGAGCCATTCCATTGCTGTTGCCTTACGTTGGTAAGGATTTGTTTGTAAAACGGTTTCAGGTCAGGGTGGGATATTCTTTTTTCAATATATGTGAGTGGGTTAGTAATAGCCTTTGCCAACTGGTCGGCCCTTTCGTTGCCGGCTATACATGTGATGGAACCCACATAAAGTGGATATGTTTACGTTTCTCGATGAGGGAGTGGAGGTTATGTTTGATGTGAAGCATAATGGAGTGTTCTGGGTTTAGCTTCGTTATTGCCTGGAGTGTACTCAATAAGTCGGTTATTACCAAGAATTTTGAATGGTCACTTTTCTCTGCACATTCAAGTGCTTTCCATATAGCATAAAGTTCTCCTGAGAACACAGTGCTTTCTGCTGGTACTTTGAAAGAGTGATTGGAGGTAGTATTGGTAAATGCTGCCCCTACTCCTTTTTCTGATTTGGATGCGTTAATGTATATTTGGATACAGTCTTTGAATTGCTGCAATAGTTGTTGAAAAGTGAATTAGACTATGATTGGTGTTATTTTTCTCCAACTTAACGAGCCCTTTTTGAATTTTATTGGTTGGAAAGGTCCATTGAGAGGGATTAGGAATGATTGAGTGGTAAATTGGGAATGAATCGATTGAGTCTCTCGTAGAATGGAATTGCCATTCTATTCATTTTTGCAAATGTATATCTGAACCTTTGGGCTATAACGTTATGTAAAACAGGGTTATCTGGGTTGGATTTGATTGCAGCAGCATATGTGAGGCGGAACTGTTTTCTTCTGATGTTCAATGGAGATTCTCCTGACTCACAGTCACAGTGAGAAAGAAAATCAATTTCAAAAAGGTTCCTGTATATGAATATGTGTAGTATAACACAGTCAATGCTACTTTGAATACCCAGGCTAGTCAGTAGAGAACGGTGTGAGTTCTTTGGACAACTTTGCTGGTTTCTGATTCTTAATGTACCAAGCAAATAAACATTTGAATATTAAATATTTGTATGTCTGGGCCCCAGTATTTTTTTATTTTGCTGATGAAAGAAAATACAAAATACCATTGTGAATGCAAAGAAATGAAAACTTCCTTCTGCGGAGAGCAAGAAACCCATAAATCTATAACAATGTATACATACATTTACAAAAAATACAAAGATTGACCCTGTTAGTTGTGATACCGTTAACCTGTTTATTGCTTCGTGTCTCCTACCAGAGATGGAGTTGTCAAAGATTGCTGTTCCCAAGTTGAGTTGAGTTGATCGGTGTGGGACTAAACACTTCCTTGAGAGCCAGAGTTGCTCATATGGGATGGGTCATGAAACACGATTTTTGGAATATAAGTGTTTTGCACTTCACTGAATATTAATCATTATAATAAAGTTCTTACAGGTGATTTGAAATATATAAAGGTTTTACATAAGTGTTCACTCAAAGATACACAGAATAACATACAAAAATTACTCTTAATTATACAACACTCTTGTTTTGATGCATCAATTGTTTAAAAAAATTAACCTTGAAATCAGGACTGAATATGTTTAAGCAACAAAATAATCTTATACAAAAACATGACCACTAAAAATTCATTGAATCATTTAACTATAATCTTTGCATCCGATGAAACCCCAATTCATCAACGAATCAAATATCGATCTCACTTTGACTTAAATCCACACTGATGACCATGAAATATTCAGATTCACCAGAATCACCGCGATTACTTTCACATCAAAAAGCAACAACCTCTAAATCTCGATGTTGAGCTCTTCCACCTTCTAACCTCCACCAGAAAGAACTATCTTATTCCCCATCTTCACGTTGCTTGTCAACTTCATTATCCTTAGCTTTTTTCTTAATTGATTTTACAATTTTACTTTCTCCGTTAGACTGAATTTGATCAACTAATTATGCGAAATTAACGTTTTCAGATGAACTGGTGCCTACTTGCAGGCGTTATAACATTGTTTCTGAGCGTTTCTTCTCTGCCTTACTACGAAGATGACTTTTCTGACATCCAGGGACCGTACTGCGAAAATATAGGATGCTGCAATGACCGACAAGATTCCTGTTCTGTTCCTATATTGGGTAAGTAAAACTCGTTCCTCATGTCTTCGAGAATTTGGTTCTTAACTGAAAATTCTTCTGTGAAAAAAATGCTTTCTGATGATTGATGAAAGTTCTGATTTCCATCAGTTGAAAGCTGTTTCGAAACTTCCATGGGAAAAATGATTTCTATGAATAAAATAAGTAAATTGAATAGAACTCATTAGTAGAGTTTTTCTACACCCGTACTCTAACAATACACTTATATGACCATAATCCGTTTCATAATGATATCCATTATGATACAGATGTTTCATAACGATACAGATTATCAACCAATAGAAACCCATAATTTTTCAATCAAGAATCCTGTTCCTTTGTTTGTCCTAGATTCTAACCTAAGTAACTAATTGTTTTATTTGTCAAAATCAGTTTTCATATTACCTACCTATATTATCAAAATGTCTGAAAACAGCGATATAGAAGGAATACCATCGACTCCAATATTTTTAAAAGATCAGATTAATTACAGTTGTTGTATTCAATATAAATATAATTAGAATCTTTATAGTTTTCATATATCCATGATAATACCATTAAGTTTGTGTTTTTTCAAAAAAATATGAGTTAATTACTGTAAATGTGTTCAATACAAATATAATATTTATAGTTTTACATTATTTATCGGGTTTAGAAAAAATAGCGTATGCAACTCTCATGTAATGGTTATTAATACACTCGCATATACCATACAAAACTCGCTTTCGGCTCGTTTCGTATCCCGGTTAATGCTCGTGTCTTAATAACCATCATTACATGATCGTTGCATAATATACTATTATTGTATGATTTTCACTATGAATGGTTTTACAAACATTACGACACGTGTTTCGCTATACAATAGCTTTCTTTTCATAGTGAAAATCATATAATAAACTGTATTAATGAGTTGAGTAAACACAATTTTTTATGTTGAACGATTTTAGAACTTTCCGACAAATGATGTGAATAAAGTCTGGAAAGTACTAGGTATATAAATAACCTACTGATATTCCAGGGGAACTCAAGAAGCCTGATGAATTCAATAACTTTTACGTGAATTCAAATTCCAATTTGGTAATCCTGAAAATCCTGGAATTTTATAAAAATAATAGAAAGCAGAATAGTCTTGAGTTTTCCTTCCAACAAATGAGCGGAATTGATATACAAAAAATCGTATACACTATAAAAAGCAATGCTCAAGGCTCCGATGCCATACATATTAGATTATTGACTGTGTTGCTCTTTCATAGTACTTTACATCACACACATAATAAATGTCTGCATTCAAAGAGGTGATTTTCCAAATTGTTAGAAGAAAGCCCTGGTCATTCCCCTTCCAAAAAAAATCCAGAAAGCTTCAAAGATTTGCGAACATTAGCATTCTGCCAGCTGTTTCTAAGTTATTTGAAAGAGTGATTTACAATCAACTTTCTGAATTTATTTCAACTAAAAACCTTTCACCAGAAACACAATCGGGCTTCCGCCCATCTCATAACTGTGAAACGACAATCTTGAACATTACAGATGATGTTATCAGCGCACTTGACCATAAGAAAGCTACAGCACTTGTTATGCTTGGGTTTTCGAATGCTTTGGATACGATAAATTATGTTATTTTCCTCACTATCCTGGAATCCATTGGTTTGTCACATATCGCGGTTGAACTTTTTGAAAACTCTTTGAGCGAACGAGTGCAAAGAATCAAATTAGACGATATAATATCCAGCCTTTTGAAGATGAATCGCGGTGTTCCACAAGGCTCGATTTTAGGTCCTTTCCTATTCATATTATATATCTTAAACTTTGTGAACATAGTTAAAAACTCCAAAATAAACCCATATGCAGATAATACACAAATACATCTTTCATTCCACCCATCGGACATGAATACAGCAATGCAGATACTAAACGAAGACATATCCTCATTGATTTCAACCTCTGCGCAGCATTGTCTTTTAATCAATACTAGTAAAAGTTCAGTTTTGGTCTTTGGGGCTAAGAGAGAACTGAATGGCTTTCAATCAACTGTAGACAAGGATGTCGTTGCAGCGACTGAACACGCCAAAAAATTTAAGTATAATTCTGAATTCAAACTTGAAATTCAAACGTCACATCAATACATGCACACAAGAAATTGTAATACCGTTCAGATGTTCACAATATCAACATTCGTTACAGGGGAAGAATAACACCCCCTATACACCGTACAGAATTATAAAAAAAATAAAATTTCATACCAGATCGCACGAGTGTACAACTCAATCTCTGATGAATTTAAACTGATGTCTTTGAAAAAATTCAATTTTTTCTGCCATTTATATGTATGTCTAATATACTATTGTGTTAATTATATATTTGGTACATTCATTCGCCAACTTAGTACACCTCGAACTCCACTGTTTAGGAGAACTGCGTTTATGTGAAATAAACTTCCTGAAAACGTTTTTCCACATGGATTTAATTTCCAGCGATTCAAATCCAAGGTGATTCGCTACTTTCGCACAGGCAACGCTCTGAGAGCGCCACAAGGATTTTCCTGTAGTGTTTTGTTCTTAAAAAATAGAAATTTCCGAGCCATGTGGACACTTTGAGTCTGACGCTCATGCAGGTTCAAATGTATATAAAATTATTCACCCTTGGTAACACACCGACGCATACACCTCTTCTGACGTCACAAATGTTTCTGGTGCGGATTTTGTCTGTTTCAATTTCTACCATTTTTATCACTTTCCACAATCATCGTATCTGAAAAATATTTACCACATGCGATAATCAGGTATAGAGGTTTATTTTTTGCCAATGAAAAAATACATGCAAGTGGCATATTGAATTACAGGAACAAACTTTTTCGACTTTCGAGTGTTCTAGCTTCGACTGGTTATATAGAATTGAACGAAAGCGATAAATTCACTGTAGAGAAAGTGAAGTGTCACAGTAAAGTTATTGTACTATTTGAGTCTGACGTGTTAATGAAGTATATCAATTAAACAGGTTGTATTGTTGTGGCATCAAATAAAGTGGTTAATACATAAAAGTATGCCTCCCATTTTGAAAACCCATAGGCGCACATTTTCCACCTTACCCTTCGACCGAAAGATATTGAAATTTCAGCAAATCTTCTTAAGGAAAAACTCGATCAGGCCAGTCTTCCGTTACCTACAACTTCTCTCCTGGTTAATACCACGAAGAGCGTTGGATTATATCCGACAGGTGTCAGTGTAGAATTCTTCACAGAGGTAATTCCTGCATATGTTTTTGGCGATAAAGGATTTGGGTCATTCGAATATGCGGTTGTACCTCGTCTACAGGCAGAGGAGTGAAGTCAGATATGTTGTTTGACAATCGCTTCAGCTCCGTTCGAAGTATGACACTCTGAAAGAGTTTGAATTTTAATTATGGAAAATCATCTTTGTGTTGATTGTAGGACACAACCTATCACTGACGAGAGTTCAAAAGCCCAAAATTGGTGTCAGGTGTGCCGTTTCCAATAATTGAAAATCGATTTCAGCAGATGTATCGCCAAAAGCATATGCAGGAAATTATTCTGCGAAGAATCCTGCACTGACACCTGTCGGATACAATCCAACGCTCTTCGTGGTATTAGCCAGGAGAGTATTTGTTTTCTGATAGGTGTCAGACCATGAACCTACTCTGTAGGTAAGGAAAGACTGGCCTGTACGAGATGATTTGATTTATAACCAATCTTCAAGTATGCCCACTTACTATAGGAGAAATTTTAGCTCTCCCGCGAATGGTGTTGCAGGGCCGTTAATTATTTTAGACAGTACTCGCCCTCTTCCTATCCTTCTTCTCGTTATTTTTTCGTCTTATTACAAGTTCGGAAGGGTAACTGAAACCAGGAAAATGACAGATCACTCATTGATTGAAGTTCGAGGCAATAGTTTAAGCTATTTTCATCTTATAGGTACCTTGTGCTACTGTGATGAATTCTGCAACCATACGAGAGTAGATGACTGTTGTCCAGATTTTTGGTACCATTGTAAGGGCATCCCCCCTCCCACTACTACGACCACAACCACTAGAGGACCCCCACAGCCCATAGTTGGATGCGAAGTAGAAGGGTCGAATCGTACCATTTTCTGGAAAGAAAAAGTTATCGTCAACTGCAATGAATGGTAAGAAAAACGTTGTGATAATTATTATTGTGGAATTGGCCGCGGTGGTAGTGCGCCCGACTCACGATCGGAAGACGATGTGTACGATTCAGGCCTCGACCAGGTATTTTTATCGAGAGAATTTATCTGGTTGAAGCTGGAATGATTCTGCAACCGTGTTAGGAATCACACGTTAAAAGGTAAGACCTCGTTATGCTCTCACAAGTTTCTCAACTTCTAAGAGTTGTCGTTCGTATGGGGGCGACAGCTGATTAACGGAAAAACAGATTTCAAACAGATTATCACAAATAAGAATTTGAATGTAAAAATCTACGCATAAGTATATATCATGAACTGAAAGTCTATCATTCAGAAATATTTTTATCCCAAATTGTTTGTTTCGCGGTTGTACTTTCCCTGACAATAGGGAGGCCGTGGACTTTTGAGTTTGGAGTGTCTACAGAATGGTAATGGATGGAGTATGTAAAGTCATCAGGAGTTCGGATCCCCTTCTCTGCATGGTCTGCCACCATGAGAGAGCAGGAATTGGAGCATTTCTTTTTAGGGTAGCTGCCCTAGCAGCAGGTGAACTCGGTTTAGTTTTCGACACTGAACGAGGTGATCACAACTCTGTCGCCAAGTTGGAACCCGTTCAGGAAAAGGCCCATATAAAAGACGCGGAGATCACCTAATTTCTGAGGAAACACAAGGATAAGCCAATGAATGGTGTCTTCTTCAATAATATTGGAGACCTTGGCTTATCAAAGCGCCTGACTATCGCTTTCCTCAGCTCGAGTGGGCTGAAGTCGGAAACTGAGGGGTTCATTATGGCTTGCCAGGATGGTGTCTTGAACATCTTAGTTTACTGTAGTCGCGTGATGGGTTTAGAGGTTCCTAACACAAGGTGCAGTGCCCGCCGCGAGGCGCCCGTGAACATATTGCACTCGCTTTCAGCGAGTGCAATATGTGTTTCAGCACATTCTCGTCCCGCACATGCTCCTGTCTCGGCCTATATCCATAGACATAACGTGGCCCTAAGAGTGCTATATAACCATCTACGGCACTCTTACGGTATTGACGAGGCACTGGTGTTGCGCTACGCTTTGGTGGATATTGAATCAGTTGTGGGGAACGAGAAGTGCCGAATTTATTGGAACTATTCGTTCCCCACCCTCAGGCTTATACAACCTAATAATCCTGATGTAGTCCTTCTCAACCACCAGAGCAAGACGATATTTGTCATGGAGTTTTCAGCTCCTGGCGAGACGAATATCATCCGAAAAGAGGAAGAAAAACGGATAAAATATCGAGATTTTCTCTTCGAACTCCGCANTCAATTTCTTCTCAAAGGAATTTGTAAATTATTTGTAAATTTTTTTTTCAGTATTTGTGAAAGCGCAGGACGAGACAAAGTGGAGTTGTTATGTGAAACTAACGTTTGTTTGATGGATCCCATGATTACGGAGACGATCAATAGGAACCCAGAAAAATTCGGCTGGACGGCAGCTAACTATTCTGAATTTTGGGGAAGGACTCTAGATGAAGGCATCAAACTTAGGTAAATATATGGTGATATCTATATGAGACCCTTACAAAGAGCGCCATGTGTTACTTTGTCCAAAAAGTTAACGGTTTCTACTACCAACAAATTTTTATTATGTAAACACGAAGAAAAATTTCTTATTTCTGTATTCTAAATCGATTCTTTCAAAATTGCTCTGGAAAATTACGCGATTGTATCTTAATGGTAATACAGTGTTACCTAATTGTGAAACAAAGTTGAATACCCATACCCAATGTGAAATTTTCAAAAATATGTTATTTGAGATATTTTCTCACGAAAACAAAAAATCTCTATTGAAAAAAATTGCATAAATCATCTCAGTGATGGGAAACTCGACTTTCAGAAAACTTTTCAACTCATTCAGTGAGTTTATCAGTTTCAAGTTTTCATTTCAAGTCGTCATTCAAATCGACATGTTATTTGGTTTGAGACAAATCTTGAAACTGACTTGACCTATCAGGTTTAAAATTTACATATACATTTGGTTCCCGTGACAATTAAATGCCGACATTTCAAGTCCAAAATGTCAATTCATCATTTCCCTTTGATATGGGTACCAATAAAAGGGTAGGGTTAGCAAAGTTTCGCCATTTTAAAACCAATATAGCGAACACCTTCTGATTGAGGAGTTAGATAACTCAAATCTCACAATGAACAGACCTCGATTCATTATTGTTCTCAACTTCATTTACATTTTCGTTATAAGTTTGTCAAACAAATCGCTTAGCAAAATAAATAATTAATCTAATCAATCAGTAACTATTTCCATAAATATACGATACTTACTATTAATGAATAAACGGAAAAAACTATTTAGTCACGTGTTTCGGGCTTTGGAAGCATCATCAGTATGGTGCAGTCAAGTGCAAGGATGGACAACACTTGGTTGCCAAAAGAAGTACGAATGCGTGAAGCCATCAGCAGAAGCCAGCCGCTCATTTGTGGTCTCGCTTAGTAAATCTTGTGTTCACAATATTACTACTAAATTTACCAAGGAGAGAGCTATAGCTCCTTTCATGACATGCGGGTCTGGGGAATTATACGGATATGAAGAATATCGAGTTTCTTGATATGAATGCAAGGAATAATTTTATCGGACATAGCTCCAGAAGAAAGGCAAACCATTGACACTTTCTATTGGCGGGCGCCCCAGTTTGAATATTTAAAAATCATTTCTTATCGCACATCTCGAACGTGAGACGAACCCATATACAAAATTTCAGCCTCCGAGAATATAGCGGTACGGAGAAACAAGGATGAACATGTAATTCTCAAATGTTTCGTACTCTCTGGGACACCCTCAACCTCATTTTTTTCAATGGGCCTGCATATTTTATGACACCTTTCGAAATAACTTTTCACGCTAAATTCAACGATATATCATACAATGTCATTCAAAGTTGATTTTTTTCGGTTAATCTTTTTAATTTTTTTCAGGGATTTCAAATCAATTTATATTATATTCAATGGAAGTCAGAACAGATGAAATACATCACGAAACATTGTCAACCACCTTCAAACAAAGGTTGTTGAAGTTGTACAAAACTTGCCGTTTCAACAGATCTTAGAGGAATATAAAACGCAGTAATGATGATTTGTTTGAGAAATTGTGGAGTTCAACTACATAAAACGTAGAGGTTCCTCATCATGAATATTTTTATTCTTCATATTCAAATAATTCTACCTGTTTTCAGATTAGGAACTCTTCCTCCTCAGCAATTCGTGATGAGGATGAACTCAGTAAGGAGGATGTACGACCCCAACGCACTCCCCAGAGAATTCGACTCCGAGGAAATTTGGCCTGGTTACATTTCCGGTATTAGAGATCAAGGATGGTGCGGGTCTTCTTGGGCTCTTTCGACCGCAGCGGTAGCTTCAGATAGGTAAGATGACCTTCCATATAAATTTATTCAGCAACGTTTATATGGGTCCTTCAAGGACTACAAGTTATGTAAAAAGTTTCCTCATAATGCTATGCCTCAAGAGCTATATTATACCACCTCGAAACGCAATGTTTGCGCTTTGCGAATCGATTCTCCCATACGGTATTTAATACAGGGGTGAGAGCACCCGAAACCTCATTATTTATGTTTTTATTCTCCAGAAAAAGGCTTTGAAATGTGTTTGCCTAGCAAAAGTTCATGACTTCTGTAGACCACTTCTCTTGTCCCATCGCATGTTACCATTAACTTGCCCCTTCATCTTAGAGACAGTATGTCTTGCATCAAAATCACAGAAGGCCAGGCTAGTCCACTCGACTCACTAATAACATAACACTTCATATTCCCTCTTCAACATAAATCAAGCAATCAATTTTTTACAATGGAAAGAAGCTTTTCAATCATATTCTTTCATTGATCAGAAAACTGAATAGCAAATGAATGTTTCGCAAGAGAGTGAGGAAAGTTGTATTTGAAAAAGTATACTATAGCACGAATGAATTCCGTGAGGATGATCTTGTATTTTGAATCTGCTATAATTAAATTTTTTGATAAGTAAATTCTGCGAATTCTTTTCGTTAATTGGAGAATCTTACGTTGCCATAGTATTGATGTGACCTCACAATGTAGAAGTCAAATCACGCTCAGTGGCGGTTCGTTAGAAGGGGGGCAGCGGTTTAACACTTCATTTCATTGATATTTGCAATGGAACTTTTATTATGCCTTTTATATTTTTGTATGAGATTAAGACTAAGAATCTGGTATTGCTCCCAAACGAATTGCATCATCGTTTTCTGAATAAATTAAAATTAGTAATTTTTGAACCGAAAACACAAAAATATTTTCAAACTACTAAACAACACTGCAATGAAACTGAATTAAATTGAATCTATCGTAAACATTTTCAATACACGACAGAAGTAGCGTCATTTTTCCCAATGCGTAATTTGTTTATCAAGTTAGCATCATTAGCAAAATGATACAATTGTAGAAAAAATGATTTTTCTCTTCAAATCTAGTACCTGGTTGAACTATTTGATAAAATGTTCTCATTTTTCCCAATGCGTAATTTGTTAATCAAGTTAGCATCATCAGCAAAATGGTAAAATTGTAGAAAGGAATGATTTTCCTCTTCAAATCTAGTACCTGGTTGAACTATTTAATATAATGTACTTATTTTTCCTGATGCATGATTTGTCAATCAAGTTAGCATCATCAGCAAAATAATGAAATTGTAGAAAACAATGATTTTTGTCTTCAAATCTAGTACCTGGTTGAACTATTCAATATAATGTACTTATTTTTCCCGATTCATGATTTGTCAATCAAGTCAGCATTATCAGTAAAATGGTGAAATTGTAGAAATCAATGATTTTTGTCTTGAAATCTTGTACCTAGTTGAATTATTTAAAACAATGTACTTATTTTTCTTGATGCATGATTTGTCAATCAAGTTGGCATTATCAGTAAAATGATAAAATCGTAGAAAAAAATGATTTTTTTCTTCAAATCTAGTGTACCTGGTTGAACTATTACATGTCGGGATACATTTTTTGAAAATAAAATTTGTGAAGATCAAATAGTTGAGTGTAGTTTGTGAAATTACTATGGATCTTCATCGACTAACGTCCGAATCAATGAGAAAGTTTGTAGTGAATTGAATGTTAGATGAAAACTATGAAAGTTGTAATGGAGAACTTTATACAGTTGTAGAAAGAGCAAACTTTTCAGTTACTGTGAAAATTTACAGTATTTTTCACAAAGACAGATGTGAAAGGAGTTTTGTAATGTGAAATATGTCAGTGTTGTTGACTGACTTTATTTTTTCAAGATGGGTGAACTATAAAGTTTGCTTTTTCCGGTATAAAGTTTTCCATTAAAATTCACAAATCTAAATGGAATGATTTTCAATAGTCATCATACATACATAAATAAATGAAGTATTTATTCAATAAATTGATGAATGTAGCCGTTACTACGTGGTAGGAAATCATAATGAAAAGAGAAATGAAACTTTCTATGTTTTTTACCACTTTTATTTGTAACTAACGTTACTGCTGTTTCGTCTTATACGGACATTTTCAAACTTATACAATAAACTAACAATGATTCATTACATTAGCCATTATATACCACCCCTGTAGATACTTGGCTTGATTGAATACCTGAATTAACAGTTAACAATGCGGATCTGCCAATTCGATCTGCTAAATTGATTTGATCATTTAACAGGTTGCACCCGCAATGTTTGTGCTTGTGAATTTCCAAGGATTCTAAATAATGGAGTTTGTAACCCTTCCTTGCATAGTGCTAAATTTCCGTATCGTTTAGATTCGGAAACTTGTGGTTGCATGCCAAGGAATGGTTTGAAAACATCGAATCATTTTTTCCTAGTCTGAAGGACCTTTCATGTTCAGTTTTTGGATATTTCGGCTACATTGTCCCACATAAACACTATTATACTCCGGACACTTGAGCTTATGAACTCCAGATTTTTCCAACTTGTCCACCTTATCTCTGTTATTTTTCCAAAACATGTTAGCGTTACCCATTTCTTGATTTCTGGTTGTTTGTCCTGAGGGTATATTAATCTGTAAGTTAATTTCCGGCTTTGTTTCCAGACTAACTTCTGGATAGTGTCTGCGTTGAAACCATCATTATGATCCATCTGTGTAAATATATCAATTTTCCTAGCTAGATTGTTAGCAGACAAAGGCAGTGAGAATACTCTGTGCAACATTGAATTGTAGGCTGCTAATTTATGACTGAACCAATTTATGACATTCATGAATGATATCAATAGCAACATTCAGTTTACACTCGAAACAGAGATAGAGAAACAGATAAATTTCTTACACCCGACATTACACACAATCAGAATAAATTTGAGTTCAATGTTTTCAGAAAACCTAGCTATACAGACATCACCATCCCAAGCAATTCTTTCCATCCAGACAGTCATAAATTAACAGCCTACAATTCAATGTTGCACAGAGCATTCTCACTGCCTTTGTCTGCTAATAATCTAGCTAGGGAAATTCATATCATTACACAGATAAGTCATAATAATGGTTTCAACGCAGATACTATCCAGAAGTTAGTCAGGAAACAAAGCCGGAAATTCACTTACAGATTAATATACCCTCAGGTCAAACAACCAGAAATCAATGCCGGTTTTTAAATTGGCAGATCCACATTGTGAACTGTAAATTCAGGTACTCAATCAAGCCAACTACCTCTATTAGTACCTACAGGGGTGGTAAAAACATAGGAAGATTTTATTGACTTACTTTTTCAAAATTGAATTTCGTCAGTGAATACTTGTCTATTTTGTCTACAATTTGAACTATTTAAATACTAGCGAGCCTGCATGAAGTCCCTATAACAGCAATTTTCGTATCACGTATATCTTGTTTCATTTTAAAATTTATCATTTGCAATGTAGGTATGCCATAGTTTCGAAAGGAAAGGAAGCAGTGGAGTTGAGTGCACAGAATTTGATATCTTGTGACACGAAAGGTCAACAAAGCTGCAGCGGGGGTCATTTGGATAGAGCTTGGTCATTCACTAAATACTACGGGTAAGTTTGCGTTCTCACAATTCAATGAATTGAATAGTCACAAAGTTAATCAGATAGTCAATTTCTCTAATGGAGCCATTGAAAACTCGATGAACTTCTATATCGAAATTTGATATTTTCCAGCCTTGTGGACGAAGAGTGTTTTCCATACGTAGGCAGAAACGAACCCTGTACTATCAAAAGACAAGGCTCGCTGGCGAGAGCTGGATGTAGACCACCAAAATATGGAGACAGGAAATCAAGATACACTGTTGGTCCAGCTTACAGACTTGGAAATGAAACCGATATCATGTATGAAATAACAAAATCAGGACCTGTTCAAGGTACATACATGCCAGTCATACATTTTTTCAATTTACGGACATAATAATTTCAAATGAATATTTATATGGCTTATTAACCTTCATCACAGCAATAAACACATACTGAGTCACCAACAGGAGCCAAACGCATATCTGTGGTTTCAGTCAAGTAACCTAGCCTTCTTAGGCCTAGCGCACACGGTCGATTATTTCAAGGCAACTATTTCTTCGACCAATCTGTACAACATAGATGGGAATGGAAGTGTGCACACAGGCGATCGAGAATCGCGCCGATTTTAAAATCTGTGGCATGTTACAGATTTATAGGTGAAGCAAAAGTCGGCTTACCATCTGTAACATACGGGTTGTAACTTGTCCGTGCATAAAGTCGATTGAATACATGGCCAATAATTAGTTAATCTCCTCTGTCATCAGTTGCCTTGTTTTGTGATTTGTTGTGTTTTGATTTGTTTTTTGGTTTGCATCAAAATAACGGCTGATTTCAACCCAGAATTCTAGTCGGGCGTTTGCTTTTTCAGCTGCAGAAAAACCCTTAAAAACCTGCAGCACCACATCGTCTGAATATCTTCATCTGCCAATGTCCTCTCTTTCATAAAACAAAATGTAGAGTGTCTCCAGAGGCTCCAATTAATTCAGGACATCGTCAGAACACTTAGTGACACGACTATCGCCAAACTTAAACCAGTCCGTTTCGTCTTTGACCAATGCGTAATAGTGACCAGATTCAGCTATACTTGTTTTCTTATAATGGTCAGTTAGTTTGGCGTATCTTTGCACTATAGTCGATCATCACCCGTTAAAAGTTCCATTTCCAGATGATTCAACAATAAGCTTTGCAAGGACTGGTTATTAGTCATATCAGGAACCTTGTTGAAGTTCCAGCTACCTCTTGAACATTTGCTACAAAGTAAATAAGTGAGGATTTTTCCAGTAAAACTTAACAAACACACGACGAGATAGACTGTACGGAATCATTTAATCCAGAGTAGTCAGGAGTATTGATTCTGCTATTTTTATGCTCACGAAGAGTATTCAACAAGAACCCCAAGAATTCGGAACAATCCTCTTGTTGTCCCAACGAGTATCTAGTGGACTTCAAAGACTCCAGGAAATTGGTTGGTGGGAAATATGATACATTCTTACAAAACTCCAACTGCATGAACAATTGTTTGAGTTTGGTGAATAAGTAGGAAATATTCTTGTCCATCGTTAAAACCTCGTTTTTGAAATTCTTCGTCATGAACAACACTTATAAAATGCTATTCATGTAGCAAGTGTTTCCTAAATTATCTAATCCAATTTTCTTCGCAAGATTATTCAAAAATATCAATAGTTACACGAAAATGAAAAAAATTAAATATTCAACAAGCTCGATGGTCATGTTGTATTCTCAATTTTAATCTGAGGACGCATTTCCCTTCATTTTGATAAGTTTTTTACTTCTTTCTGGATACAGTTAACCTCAATTTTCCCCCAAAGATGATAATAAACATTATCGAAATATTGAAGTAACTTTTGTAGGTACATTTGAATTCAGCTATACACCAAAACAATCTTTCATACAATATTTTAAGGTTCCATTCTAGTTTTCATTTTATCACCAGATACTTGTGTGAATCACTCATTTTTTTGCAGCTACCATGAAAGTACATCACGACTTTTTCACATACAATGGAGGCATATATAAACACAGCGACTTGAATCTGAACGACAGACATGGATATCATTCTGTTAGAATAATTGGGTGGGGAGAAGAAATGACTTACAATGGCCTGCAGAAATATTGGGTGAGTTTTACTTACATGATGATGGTTATCTATTAACAAGATTATTTCCCAGATATTACAATTAGTACCTATACGAGTAGTATTTGATTATGGATCAATGGTCAATGATCTAAGAACATTCAAGGGATAATATCTATATTCTATAGCGTATCTTTGGAATTACATAATGAGATCATTTTGAGAATAGTTCTTGAATGTTTTTACTGTTAGCTTTTTTATAGGCCAGATTCAAAAACGATGAATTCATAATAGAAATCAAACAGCGTTGTCATTGGTCTCATCAGTGCTGTTAGACTGAACCAAAAATATATTGTTCGATTCAAAATAAAATGCCCTCAAAGGCCAAGCATCTTTTCTCACGAATACGCCATCTATTGAATTGACAGCGAACTCAAACCAATAATATCAATGATAAACGAAGCTTCCAAAGATGACCCGTTGCAAAACTATGCTTTGACATCGATGACCCAACGAGATTTTTTCTTTACCCTTCTCTGGAGCTTTCAATTCAAGGTAACCAGTTGAAACTTGAGCCCAAAAACAAAACATTCGTAATCTATTTGGGTTTAGTCCCGCTCGTTACTTTGCTTTGAAAACTGAAGAGAAAGGACGAATTTCATTCGGCAGTTGCAAGGAACTCTTTTGGAAGTCATTTGTATCATGGATAATCGGTGTTTTATACTGTGAATGACGGTTCGTAAGAAAAGATATTCATATTTACTCATAATCAGGCTAGGAAGATCCAAGTGAACTCCAACAAAATAACCATGAGAATATACTGTTCCTGGTTATGTGAGTAGGGATATATGAAGGAATATAGTTTATAACTTCAGGTGAAGTATTTGGGCCTTGTGATAGACCGGAGACTTACCTTTAATGAAAATGGCGTACAAGAAACTGAAACTAATATTTCAAGAGAGCTTGATTTAATAACGTTATGGTTTCAATGACATGAAATATTATTAAATTTGTAAAAAAAATTATCCAAATGATCGAATTGAAATCCATAATCGAAATAATAAATACTCCCGTAGTATGAAATTTCTTAGTCAACTTCAATATGGAAATTTATCATATATACGTTTTTCAAGGTCAAAACACAAGCACTACAGAAAAATCCTCAATATTACATAAATTCAAATTGCATACCTACATTCATTTGATAAAAAATAAGCTCAAACATTCAAATTTGACTTTCGTAGTAAATAGTGACCAACACAATCATTCAACAGATATTCAGGTGATCTAAAAGTACTGAAAATGAAAACAAATACTTGACAGAATTGAATTCATTTCGAAGGTATTGAGTTTTACAATGAGCTACCAAATGCTTTTGAAAATTTTATCATACAAAGATTCCGAATTATTATGAAAAAATATTCACTGTTTTGAAACCATCCTCGATGGAATTCCGGCAAATTTTCTACCGCCTTCGATTGCCATATATAAACGCTACCCACAAGCATACCGATATAGTGAAGTTTAGCAGACAGTGTGGTACAGAGCGATCTAACCAGGCGATAGACATTTGAAATTTAGTTGAGGTGTTTGGTTGTATTAACAGTCGAGTGAAGTTAATTTTGATTATTGTACAGTTTACTCAATTATTGGTAAACCCACGGGGAAACACGGAACAATAGTGTCCCTGATATGCGCGTTTATGTGTACGATATTAATGATCTTCTCATTTGTGTTGACCAATCACAGAATTGGCATTTGTTGGTTTCCCGTTAGCTTTGTATGGGAAAGACTGTACTGATATCTACCTAGGAACACGAACTATATTCTTCCTTTGAAGTATTTGAAAAGCGTGTCTCACTGATATTGTTTATTGATTTTTCAGAAAGTTGCCAACAGTTGGGGACCAAATTGGGGAGAAAATGGCTACTTCAGGATAGCTCGAGGAACGGATGAAAGCGAAATTGAGTCCTTTGTAATTGCCTCTTGGCCAGGAGTTGATCGAAAAATTCTGTTGATGGCTGAAGAACTCCCAAATCCAGCTTAAGGTTTCATCGCGCATTCAATGACGGAACCATTCACTTTTAATCTAACTGAACTTAAAGTTCCATTAAAGTGGATGTTTGGTACTGGCAGGCAGCCAGCATTGATCTTTCGAAATTTCAAAGTGTATTTAGGATTGATTCAAAAAGTGTTATCTACCTTTAGGACATTTCAGGTGTACTTAATACCGGTATAAAATAGACATATTTTTTATTGTTAAGAAAGTATACTTATACTGCCTTTTTACAAATAATTTGTAAGTCTTGTTGAAAGTTACAGAATCATCACTTATTGATGTAGCTATTTTGGCAGCATCGATCAGGAATGACTTAGTCATGAATCTTTTTTGAAACACCAAAGTTGTTCAACATGTGAAGGCAAGGCAAACATTCAATTCGATGTAGCATTAGTTTTAAGTTTATTAGATGTTAGAATACAAACATTATTAGTAGGATTGAAAATTCACTATTTTTTACTGTATTGATATTTAATACATTTTATACTCAACCTTGAATTTAAATTTTTTTATGAGTGGCTCATAAAACTATGGGGAAACAAAATTGATTTGGAAAGTTAAGATTTGAGAGTATTATGTTTTCTTTCTTCAACTCCAACATTTCAATCGAATAACTGAAACATCAGAAATAAAATGAATAGTCGATATGAAAAGTAGTGCCCAGGGCATAATTGAAACCTTAAGATCATAATAATAGAGTGAAGTAAATCGAGATGAGGTTATCGAAATTAATCTAGGACGCATCAATCTAGGACGCAACGAAAGTACGAAAACACATTCGTATCAAAACTAGATCAGAAATACATAAAAATAGAACATGATATTAACTCAAAGGTAAAAACGAACAAGTCATAAAAACACCTTTCAATGAGGTACGATTTCAAGCGAATTATGAATCTAGAACCCATCACACTTGGTGACTTCGAACACCTTTATTCTGCTATGTGGAACATCAAAGTTGTTTTCTGAGATTGGTATTGAGATGAGGCATATGATATCTCACTATAAATTTGTATATGTTTTTGAAAACAAGTTTCAAATATAAATACAAACGGCATCGTTAGGATTTCCATATTTTTAAAACTGTAGCAGCAGTTTTCTCTCTATTTTGGACCAATCATACTTCTCTTATAATTCTTTTTCGAGCAATAAAGACATATTTTGCTAAGGGTAATAAACTCCAGAAACAGATTCCATCACGATTTCGATTATCGACTTATCATATGTCATGGGTCTTTCTTTAGTGATTTGAAGTTACTGAGCACAAGTGTGTTTTGAGGTTACTATGCACATGTGCTTCCACCTCTTGAAGTTTTTGAAATGTTTTCAATATGTTTTATTATTATTCCACCAACCTTGTAGCTATTTCTTGAGGATCCCATACAGCACCAGATATTCATGAAATATTCACATTCAAATAATTCGATACTATTGGAAACAAAAATATTTGAAGATTTTAATGGAATGCATAACCTAATGTATATAACCTTTATAGTGTTAACCATTTTTTGAACTCATCGCGAAGATTCTGATGCATTGCTCCAACTATTGGAAACGACAAAACAATTCAAATGGTCCAATAAATGAATCAATTGCATTAATAAATTGGTTCATTCTCATCCTATTTTTTTTTGTATTTGAAATTATTCAATTACAAAGCGACAAATCCTGGCAACAGAGAAATGGGAAGTGATGTATTGGAGTAAACGTTTCTCATTGGTCAATTGAAGTGAAGCACGCGACAGTCGAAGCTCTGTGAAAGCGGCTGCCCCTTAACGCTTGACAGCTTTGCTTTGAAATCGACAATTGTTTCAACATGGCGGTTGGCATTGGTGTTATAATCAAAGTATTATTTTCTCATGTTTAGTGTACCTTTTATAGTTTGAGGCTGTCCAATTTGCAGTACGGCAAATAGTTTGCTTTTGCATCTTCAAACGGTGAGTTACATATTCAGTCTTTGAGAAAAGTGAGTAAAAGACAATAGTATCGATAATAAATTCATGGTGCTTAACCCACAATACCTCATTTTAGGCCCGAGGCGAGTTGGTGTGTGGGATTTGTTGGTATGACTAAGTACATGTTTAAACTAGAGTGATTTCAGTTGTGTATCTTCAGTAGAGAAAAGTAAGTGAATGACACTTTTTTTGTATCATTTGTTTTCATAATTTTTATTATTATTTTTTAAGATAGAGATAGTACCAATATGCCCAAAAGGAAAAGAAAGGTACCTGCAACGGGAATGCAAGTTGCTCTCCAGTTCATAAAAAGTTGTAAATGTTCATGAGGAAACTATGAGAAAAATATCTACTTGATTTTTATTCCAATTTTGTTTTGCCACTTTCAAATAGTGATAATGCGTTCCAGGTATCAATAATGAAAGACTGGCTGATGCATTGTTGGACAAATCAGGAAAACTCTTCTAGTGAGCAAAGTTTGGATAACTTAAAGTAAGTGAAATTCATTGAAGAACCCATCATATCACTCATTTAAAACACTTCATTGTGGGTTTAGTTTTTGAATTGAAGTTTCTTCATGTAATTCATATTTTCTTTTTCAATGAAATGGTGTATTTACTATTTTCCAATTAGTGCTGATGAATTCACAGAATTGTTATTTCAATATAATTTTTTCTGAAAGTAGGAACATCAAAATTTTACCGCCTGCCCGGTACTGACGATGCCCAATAGGCTGAAACAGCTGTCTACCGGTGGCTCTTAAATTGAAATCAATATGGGAATGATCAAAAATTACTTATCTATCTATTTTTTGATTTGACTATTTTTTGTGGTGTTACACCTCGAAGCGAGAAGTAACACCACACATAACTTTTAAATAGGATGAGAACAATGGTAAATAGGTTTGTGGAGTTTATTATTCAAAATAGTTCATTACATTAAAAATATTAAATCAATAATATTGTTAATATCATTAAATTCCTCATATTATTGTTCCCCAGTTCTGATAACTTTTATCAATCCTTCAGCATTATTATTATTCATGTAGTTCCTGCAGTAGTTTATCACATTTGATGATTTCTGGCCAACTGAAAAAAAAAAAAAATTGAAATTCTTCGTGAAATTTAGTGGATATTTTCAATGTCAGGGTTTTTGAAAAATTGCCATAACAGAAAAACATCGCATCCAATAGCCTAATTTTTGAATTATAAACCCACCGCTTGCAATTTAAAAAAAAAGTTTTTGGCTTTCTACTACTACATCTTGATACAAAAATGTGGTAATTTTCCAAAAAAAGGAAGGAAGCAATCACCCACCGTACCTACACTTACCTAGCGAATAGGCTTTATAATTTTTTACATTTAAGAAAAAAACGTAATGGTACCTTTTTAGTCTGGATAGATCTGCTATTCACAGATTAGTTGATCCTATATTTAGATAATTTCTGTATCTTTGTTTGAAGGTGTTTGACAATGTTTCGTATATAAATATAAATTGAAAGTAATTTTTGGTACATTATTTACGACATGCGCAAATAATTAAGAAAATCTAATGGCTATTTCCTTGAGTCTTTTAATAAATTTATGTGGGATGTTTAAACGTATCAGTGTTTTTTTTACATAATTTTTTTATTTAACATTTTTGACCCTCGGGTCGAATGGTAATCTCAAAGTGGTTATTGTTCATTTGTTGTTATTTTGAAAGTGTAAACTTTCACGATATTGGTATTCATTCACATTGTGTATATCTGCAATTTAACCTTCAATAAAAGGCCTATCTATACTTCTATTGTTAACTTTCTCAAGACCGCCTACTTTATTTCTTCATTGGGTTCAAATACCGAAATTTCTAAAGATAACGTGACATATTTCTGCTTTCCCATCTATTTGAAATTATGGCAGCTATTATCTATAATCTTTACTAATTTCTCTGTTTGCCGAATTTCGACCCTTTTCAAAGATGTTCGGAAAATACCTACGCGACTTGACAATAATTCCAGCCTATCCTTATAAATTACCCTCTCTCAAAAAGATTATTTTAGGAGATAGGACTAAGTGAAAATTAGATTAAGTCTGCTTCCGAAAGTACTAGTAACAAGACATACCGTCTTACCGCGTATCACAAAATACAGTTCATCATTTGCAAGTACCGTAGAAACATCTTGTTGCAAGACATACCGTCTTACCAGAAACCGTTAATAATACCAATCTCACCAGACATTTTTTTTGTTTTGATACATTAATGTTTATACTATAAACTCATAGTGTTTAGATATTAATTTATCTGGTCAAAAATTATTGGTGAATTCTGATTACTTTTTTAAATAGTAAAATTTGGATTAAATCAATAATTAAAAGACATGAGAAGATGTCTAACATTGCAAAAAGTAAACCGAGCGATGCCATATCGTCATCCCCGTTTGAATCCATGGAAAAAAACTGAAGGAATGAACAATTGAACTGCACCTCTGTGTACATCTCAGTTGAACTGTACAGTTAAACTGTACAGTTAAACACAGTTTAACTGTCAGTTTATCTGTTCGGTTAAAACTGACAGTTAAAACTGTACGTGAGTGGACGGCCTGACGGTAAATGACCACAGCCAACGTCGTGTGTTCGTTGAATGGGTTCTGGAGCAGTTGGAAACTGACCCAAATTTCCATCGAAAAATCATCGTCAGCGATGAGGCCCATTTCTGGATGAATGGGTACGTGGACAAACAAAATTGTCGAACTTGGGAATATACCAATCCACACGGGATCCAAAAGTGTCCAATCCATTCCGAAAAAGTCACTGTTAGGTGTGAATTTTGGACTAGCGGCATCATTGGTCCATATTTCTTGAAGAACGACGCGATGTTGGCCAGGTCACCACTGGCAACGGCGAGCACTATAGGTTGATGATTACAATTTTTTTGGCAATAACCAGAATGTTTTGCCGGCGAAGTACAGATCATTTTCAGACATATCTTCGTAGACTGTCCGCTTTTCGAACACGAAAGAGAGAAAAGGGAAATCTCAGCGTCCTCTGTAAAATGCAGAAAAATGATCATCGACACTCTGATATTTTACGTTGGATTTAATCAAAAGTGAAAACCATCGAGGAGAGATACATACGTATAAGGAAATAAATATTTCGAAATACATTTCGAAATGTTAATCTCTCCCAACTACCTACACAGTAAGGTCTGGTTAACGTCTACCTGAAAACAACTACTTACCCGGCTAATACCACGCTGGATATTGAATTATATCCGACAGACATGTATGCAAGATTCCTCACAGAAGATGACAGATGTGTCCCGTTCATCCAGCAGCAGAACCTTGCTGAAATTATTCAAGTAGATCACCTGCAGACCGTGGTTTCGAGGTGTTACCTCTCGTCAGTACAGGAAAGATCCTATTCAGACACCAAAGTGTTTGGAACTCGATTAATTTCAACAAGGATCCGCTATAAATATGAAACCTTCGTCTGATATAATTCAATATCCAGCGTGGTTTTAACCGGGGAAGTAGTTTTTCGACAGACGTTTACCACACCCTACTGTGTAGGTAATTGGCAGAGATTACTATTTCGAAATATTTATTTCCTTATAGAATTTAATACTTGACAACTGCTGTTTCAACAACTGTTATCATGTATTAATTCTAATAGCCAGCTGACTGAGACGGTTATTTACTTGAAAAAAATACATTTAAATTCTTAGTCCAGTCTTCACTCTACAAGATCGCCTCTGCAAAACTCACCTCTCAACTTTGACGCTTTTTGTATGATGGCGTTGATCCCTTTCGTCGTTTCAACAACTTCATTGTAGTTTTGTAATCTTATGTTGTGCCCTCCGATCATTTCTTTATTGATTGCCATAAGTTCGTTATAATAAAATGGAAGTTGGTCCCTATGCCAAAAAAAATGATCAAATTAGATTATGAACATTATTAAAAATCAATACAAAATGAAGAACATATAAAATGTATTGTGGTGTATTCTGGGGTTTATTCGTAGTGATTCGTAGTGACGTTAATAAAAAGATTCGCCAGAAAGGAATGATTCAATTTGTGTCGGATGTCAAATTCAATAATAAAAACAAACTTTTCAATATTCTCTAACAAAAATTGAAATCGGATTTGTGCAAGTAATAATTTCTCAGCTTCATTTTGTACATCCTTACAACATATTTGATAAGAAGTTTTCAGCACTTTGTGAACTATAACGATCAAAATAAAGCAGAAACTGACAACTGACTTAAGGCGATTTCTGGGGCTCATGTATTCAAAACGTATTCGTCTGTAATTCAAATACATTCATTCTGGCGATGAAACGATGACGTCCATGAATTATGATTTGAAACATATTCATGATGATTCAAAACTAACGTGAGGTTGGTTTTGAAACTGAATTTGATGTTACGTTACGTCAGTTGTCACTTTCTGCTTTATTTTGATTGTTTTTGAAAAATCATTTATCAAACACTTCGTAAGGATGGCAAAGCTGGCAAATTATTGCTTGAATGTCGATTTCAACACTTTCCCAGAGTTTACAAGGTGTGCAATGAAAATTGTAATAACTGCCATTGCGGTAGTAACATAAAATATTATTTCATTCATTGAGGTCGATCACATCACCCGTTTCTTCGGTGTCGATATTTTTCCAGTGAAAAAGCGCTGAATTACTTTATGACTGTCGGACCTTCGAGCGTCGTTGTGGTCATGTTAAAATTCACTTAGACTAAACAAATGAATATATTGCCTCCTACCGATGATCATACGGTTGGGAAGGTTGAAAAAACGCTGATATGAGATTTTTGTGGATAGCGTTGTTGACGCGAAGGATTGGCAGTTTCTTCAGGGAGACACAAAAAGTAGGTCACCGGAAGTCGTCGAGACTAGATCGGGGGTCTCATCCCTCAGCCTTCGAGGCTGGGCTGAGGGTGGTGGCCTAAATAGGGGAGTTAATTTGTTTGTAAGGGCGTNATTTCCTTCATCAAGACATCTACAAGAAATTTTAAACATTGCAACAAAATTGTAAAAGAGATAGGTAAAAAATATACTTACTCACTCGAGGTTATAGTAAAAAGTCAGACGTGGCAATGAAAAAAACAAAGTTAATACTTTTCATTATGTAGAAAAGTGTCACACATTCAATTTAAAATTACAGAGGAAAAGTACAAAAACTTATTTTATTCAAACATTTAAAATTATTTCACTGTCCCATGCTTGGCACTTACTCGTTGGCGTGGTAGCAACCAAAGAGAGAGAGGAAAGAGGAAATATTCGAATATTATATAATTTGAATCAAGAATGATCATTCACTCCTAGAACTTGAAATCAATCTTCATTAAGACGGTCGAAAAATGAAACAGTAACAGGAATATGAACAAATTGGAAAACAATTATCAATTCTCAATTACATGTGATATTATAATTGAAATATTTTAACGGGAAAATGAGACCTTTTGAACTTACAGATCATTTAGTCTACTATCTTCTGCTTGAATAATCAGAGTTCTGATTTGAGTCAATCGGTCTGCGACGTCTGTATTCAGTCTTGCACTTGCATCCTGAATTTCAATTAATTTCTCGAGTAAAAGTTTTAGGTTGTTTTCTTCTTCTGGAAATGAAGCTTTAGACTGAAAATAGACACAAAAAGTAGTAGAGATCTAATGACAAATCAAATCATTCGATATTTTAATGATAATTTTCTGTAACATCGACTGTGGGACACACGTTACTAAAGTGATTTATAACTTCCAATAATCACTTACTTCCAAAGTATTCACATTCAAGTAGGAACATAGAGACTGTATCAAATCCCCAGCCAGAGACATATTCATCGTGTGGATAGTTATTCTCCCGGATATTTCGGAGACTATAACTAGATCAGAATTGTCTCTGAGACACTTCACATTAAGAGTCAAGTTTGGCCCAGACTCGAATTCTATGTCGGAGGAAAATAAGAAATTTTGGTTGATCCACATGCAGATTCTTTGCACTCTTTCGTTAAGTTTGAACTGTACGAAGCTCTCAGGCTTTATTATATCGTTTGGATTCTTCAGGGAATACATCGAGAATCTTGGTAGCTGTCTTGTGATTTCGTAAACGTGGAATTGTACGCTGTGAGGAAATCCGACCAACGCCTTCAACAAAAAAATAAATGGAAATTAGTTTGAGAAATTGCATTTTGCATTACTCAAGTATCTATTATATTTGAGATGGAAGGGTGGGCATACCTATCCCCCTAATCATATTTTAATGACCTGCTTGTTTTATTGATGTGTATGAGATATGTTTGAGAACTTCGTTTGCTTGGCCTCAAAAATAGTGTTTTATATAAATATTCATAATTCACAAGAGGGTGAAATTGATGAATTTTCTAGACTGACAATTACTGAAATTGATAATAAACAAGATTTTGTAATTTTCCACAAACCGTCTTATAAGGACATTATTATACATAATTCCTCGACACATACATATTAACTATAACAGCATCCAAACTATTGAATATTCCATTGTCATAAAGTAATTTTCAGAAAGAACTGAACAGTAAAAACATTTCATTTCATTTTCATTTGGGATCTCAGCAAAACTCAGTATCTTCATAAATTTCCATTGTTTCTTCTTTTCAAAATTGAAAGTTTTTCTTTTCTATTGATATTGATATTGATATATTGATATATTGAAGTACAGTTTATATATTTACATGTAATATATCGTGTTTTTCAAAAGTCTCAGATCCAGTAACTTGGCCTAGATATGTTTATCTGTTCTGCCATGTACTAGATCTATAGACTTTCTAAAAAAGTGTACATTTTATGATAATAACTAAGCAGTGAGTCGACAGACCACGTATACCGTAATGGTGCAGCTTATTGAGTAAAATTGTGACGTTCAATGGAATATATATGAAAGGTGTGAAGTGGTCTGTCATGTCAGTTCTCAAAGAATGGAAAAAAATAGGATTAGTTCTTGGAATGTTGAGGCCAATTCCACATTATCAAATCATCTTCTGTCAGAGATGCATAAGTTCAACCACGATTATGACGTGTAACATTTGAAAGAGATAGATTTGAAAATCAATCTTTCGGAATGCTTAGGATCCTAAATATTTAGGAATTCTGAAAAGTACCTGAATAACCAAATACATTTGTATATAGTTTATTGTATGATTTTCACTATAAGGGGTTTTACAAAAACCGCGACACGTGTTTCGCTATAAAATAGCTTTCTCAAGTGTTAATAATAAGTTACTTTCAAATTACAACTATTATAAACTCTAGCCTATTACCTTCTTATTTACCTAATGAATGAAAAGAATATATATAAACTCATTAACTATATGAATAAATTAAATTTCGGAACATACCGTAATTATACTTAACTTTTGTTACCTGTGAATAAGATATTGAGAGTTTTCAAATTTGTTTATTTCCATTCTTTCCAACAGGTTAAGTTCTAAACCTTTCTTCTGGAAATGGAGGGGCTTGAATTCATGATTGAACTCATGTCCCTTTGTGATTAAACGAGTGGCACATGTGGAGTTTATGTTTCCATTCTGGAAACTATTTTTGTGTACTTTGATGAGGACTGTGAACGTTCTTCCAGTTTGATGTATACCTACAAAACGTCGGACATGCAGAATATTTGAAATATTCGTAGTGAGTTGGCCTAAGTAGGTTAGGTTCTATAATTTTTATTCTTATCTCTTCGAATCGGCTAAACTTTCTTCAAACGTAATCATTGTTGACGGCTATTTGTTTTATTATAGTGAATGCTGCTACTTTGTGCTGATATGGGTGGGTGGACGAATTATGAATGATAATATCTGTGTGTGATGGTTTATGATGAATTGAAAAATCATGTATATTGTTAACATTCGTTTTTGTCCAAAAAATTTATATAGTCGTTCTTTTACATCTCCACGGTGAATGTGATGGAAGGGTGGAGAGAATTGATGAAATTCAAGAACTTAGTCAATTGTCTGTTCATTCCTGTGAAACATACCAGGATATCATCTTCATATCTATACCAATACATGAAACTTCTTACCAGTGAGTTATGTGTATTTTCTGCTCCAAATCGTCCATGAAAATTTCATTTCCCATTATGAGACTTTTGCAGGATGAGTAAAAAATTCAATTGAATTGGAAGTAATTCTGTGACAAACAAACCGTATGCAACTCTCATATTTCATGTTTAAAAATCTGTTTAAAATATGTTTTTCCGTTAATCAGCTGCCCCCCCCATACGAACGACAACTCTCAGAAGTTGAGAAACTTATGCGATCTAAGGACTAACGAGGTCTTACCTTTTAACGTGTGATTCCTAACACGGTTTCACTACAGGATTGATATAATTTTCGTCCATTAGATTATCTACAAGAGTAATCGTATCATTCGGAATACTGGGAAACAGATTCTTTACATTGAATGAAATCAATTTGTCTGTTTAGGAATTCATACCATTTGATCAATGAAATTCAAGATATTATTACACTCCCGAATAACCTGAACCCGATTTCATTTCAATATTTTGTGTTGAATGAACATGAGTGACACCAGAATATCCAAACAAAATCAAATCAAATTTATTCTCAATATAATATACAATTTGTTGTATAACATAGTAATTAGATCTCAATAATCTTGAAAGAGTAACTTTCACCTAGGCATAGGAATGCCTGTATTGTGTTATATTACTTATTCAGCTAAGAATTCTACACTCGTAGATCCATTTTATAGAAACAATATGACGAAACAATGAACTATAGTAATTTAATCACAAAAAATAACAAAAAGAAGTAGATATAAGTAGAGTATATGCTTGTGCAAGAAAAGATACAGATGGTATAGGAACTGAGTTTTCGATTATAAATCGCTTGAGAAGCATACTTGAATTCATTTTTTTTCCATTGTTTTCAATTCTACTGGAAGCAGGTTGTACAGTTTTGGACCATAATAGAACACGAATCTTTGTATATAGCTACTTATCTTGTATAGTGTCATATTAATACTTCAATTCTCGACTGATCAAGTTCTAAAATCATCAAAAGGAGCAATTTGTTCAGGCCAGTCTCAACTTCCTACACTGTAGGTTAACGTACTGACACCTATCAGAAAACAACTGCTCCCCTAGCTAATACCACGAAGGGCGTTGGATTATATCCGACAGGTGTCAGTGCAGGATTCTTCACTGAAGTTAGTTCTATGTATATAGAAAAATTACTAAAAAAATATATTTTTTTCTCAAGAATTTCATCTCAGCTTTCGATGTACTCAAAAATTACATCATATAATTGTATCTGACTATATGCGAAAAGTTTTCTTTCCTTATACGAGGAATTGGGCAAATTTCCGATATGCGGTTGGTTACCTCGTTCACAGGCAGATAAGCCGATGACAAACTTGTTGTTTGTTGTCCGCTTCAGCTTAGTTCGAGGAATGATACTCTGAAGAAAGTCGATTTTCAATTATCGGAAATCATCGACTTCATGCTGATATGATAGACACTAGCTTGCACTGACGAGTGGCCAAACAGCCCGAAACCGGTCTGCAAGTGTGTTCCAATAATTGAAAATCGATTGCGGCAGTTGTATCGCCAAAAGCATATGCAGGAATAACTTCAGTGACGAATCCTGCACTGACACCTGTCGGATATAATCAAACGCCTTTCGTGGTATTAGCCAGGGGAGTAGTTGTTTTCTGATAGGTGTCAGTCCATTAACCCGTGTAGGGAGATGAGAATGGGCCGAACAAATTGTTCCTTTAAATAATTTGATTCATAGCCAGTCTTCAAGTATGCCCACTGACTATATGTGAAAGATGATCTAGTTCTTACTAGCCACTGGTAACTATATATTGATATTACGTTAAGTAAATTATGTTCTTGATATAGATGCTCCTTTGAAAAACGTCTATTTTTTCAAATATTATTTTCAAAATTGGGGTCTGTGCTACTTGTAAGATAATAATTCTCGAACAAATTAACATCAATGTACCACGGCCAGCTTCACGACCTCAATCCATTTTTAAACCTCTCAGAGCAAGAACTAACATTATGCTCAATTCCCGAATATATGTTATATGGACAAATTTCAATAGCATTTGTGCCCATTATTAGAATTGCTAACGTGTACTTGAAGTAGGTAATTAGAATGAGTTTTTCATTTTTGTTCATTTCATATTTTGTTTATGGTTAAGTATTGTGAATAATAGTTATTTATGTATCAAGGGAATTAGGAGGGCCTTAATTACCGATGGCAAAGTTTGCGTCCCGAGGGCCTCTGGCCCGAGGGACACCAATTGCCTGAGGTTATTAAGGCTCATTAATTCCCGTGGTACATAGATAATTTTATTTCTGACCGATTTCAATAAAATTTTGTTCATTTTTGAAACGGAAAAATTACGTGAATAAATAAAATATGGTTCAGTTTTCATTTCTATTTATTTTTACTTGTGAAAGGTAGAGGGAATTATAAAATCTATAATGTCCCAAGGGAGTTATGACCCTCTTTATTGATAGCGTAACTATGACGATATAAGCTTATAATATCCCGGTCAGAAATAAAATTTTATATTGTCCTGTAAATGAGTAACTGTTGGACAATAAAGCTATTATTATTTTTTTTTTCACCGTAGTGTGCGCTGGTCAGCCCCTATCCCCCGAAGCCCCGATACATTCGGAAGGGCGCGCCAGCATTATCAACCAATGACCACTCCCCATATCATGGGGTAAGTGACCATTGGGTCCGAGAATCATGTGAACTGAGCAAGCGCAGTGAGCCCAGAATGACAGCCTTCTGCATCTGTTCGGCTAAGATTTCTGCCTTAGTGCGGCAAGCCGGTATGATTTTAAGATTCGAGAGTAGAGAGGACATCATTCCACCAATAATCAGAACAACCATCTTGACAGAGTGATCTGGATAGAGTCTGCGGAGTTATAAGAGTAAGTCTCGATATTTAATCCGTTTTTCCTCCTCTTTTCTGACGATATTCATCTCGCCAGGAGCTGAAAACTATACGACAAATATCGTTTTGCTTTGGTGGTCGAGAAGGACCACATCAGGCTTATTAGCTTGTATGAGCCTGAGGGTGGGGAACGAATAGTTCCAATAAATTCGGCACTTCTCGTTCCCTACAACGGATTGAATATCCCCCGGAGCGTAGGACAACACCGATATCTCGTCAATACCGAAAGAGTGCCGTAGATGGTAATATAGCACTTTTAGGGCCGCGTTATGTCGATGGATATAGGCCGAGACCGCATATGCTGGACATGCTGATAGTAAGTGCATTAGGGTCTCGAGCGCCTCGCGGCAGGCCCTTATTATTATTATTATTATTAATGTGGTTGTTGAAAGTACCACCCCTAGCTGTTATACAATATCTCATTATGAATTCTGCCAGAGACTGATGTATTGAAAATGAGTTTTTTTGAAAGAATTTCTCTGAGAAAAGTCTCACCCTCACTTGTTTGTCCCACCTCATATGTTTGTCAATAAAAATACCAAAATATTCAATGGATACTGGTGTTTTTTATATAGCCGGGAATTTACAATAAAAACTTTTTGTGAAGATCATGTTGTGCAATTTAAGTTCATTAATATGCGGATGATCATTGAATTGAGCGAAAAAGTGATAAAGCTGGTTTTTTTTCACATTCAAACTGATTAAATTATTATTCAGCCAGGGAAGAATTTTTCTCAGATTAATTTCACAGACTTCATCCAACTTTCACCGCTGATGATCATAGCCATATCATCAGCTTGACACACTATATGACTGTCAAATTCATTAACCTGTTTTATTGCGTTTATGTAAGCAAGAAAATTAATCGGGCCAAGTACTGTTCCCTGAGGTATACTCACAATAATGTATAATGTTGCATTGAGCCTACTACCAATTTCAATAGTTTGTGGTCGTTCTGTCAAATAATCCTGACTCAGTTCCAAAGCATCACCACTGATATTAAATTACATAATGTTTAGAGTAGGATTTCATCCAACACAGTTTCTAAAGTCTTCGTCAAGTCCATAAATACCGCAAGACATTTCAAATACTTATCTAAGGCCTCTACTGTTTGTTCCACGAAGCCGAGCAAGGCATTTTCAGTATTTGATTTGTCCATGAACCTGAATTGTTGTTGTGTTTACTAAAAAAACTATTATTCGATTGACAGATTGTTCGAATAGTTTAGTAAAATTATTGAAAACAGAAATTGGTCAGTAATTGAACATATCATTTTGACTTCCAGATTTGAAGACTGAACTGGACCACCTGGTATATTTACCCTACATTTTTGAAAAAACCTTTTCCAAAGAAATTATTCGAGTTAAAATATAAAGAGCATTCTATGTAAGAAACACAACTTTGATATTTTCCATGATAATAATTAAAGCACTTTCACAATAAATTTTATTCAAAACGGGTGCATCTGCATAGTAGATTCATTAGTAACTATGAAAATATTTTGCATACGCCATATTCTAGTTTAATGGGTTTATTTTCGTTCATAAAAAAATGTCTGCATGTGGCATGTGGCCTATTCAATATTATGAACTAGATACTGAACTTGTGATGCACTTTTTGGAACCTTTAATGTAGTAGTGAATATTACTGTAGTTTTCTCCAACACCAAACCGTTTATTCTTCCTCTTGAAAATGATCACTTAGTGATCGAAACACGTGTCGAAGTGTTGAAACAACGGTTTGATGTTGGGATAAATCTTCAGTTATATTCAGTAGATACTGAGATTGAATGAAAATTAAATGCAATATGAATCCAAATTCATTTGAGTTTCAATGTTTTACCTACCTTAACATGAATATCCACTGGGTTATCCTTCGGAAGAAAGAGGGGAACAGTTAGGTCAGAACGCAATTTCGAGATTGGAGGATGGGTAACATGTGTTTCTCCTTTGAAGATTCCTTCTCCGAATATAATAATGGATTTCAAAATCGTTGAATTGTTTGTTGACAGAAACAGTTCGACATGAGGCTGAAAAAGGGAATAATATACAAAATAACAATTTTAGCGTTAGCTTGGAAATCATATGAATGACTAATTAGAAAAAATATAAGTGATGAATAGTGATCACGATATATTCATGTCAAAGAAAATATTTCAAAAAAGACAAGTTTTGAATTTGGAATGAAACCTGAATAGGAAAAAGTGTTTTTCTCTATGATTCAATGTTCATATGAAAGTGTTTGAAAATTATGTTTTCTTTCGTGTAATTCAATGTTTATGTAGAAGTAGTTGTTTCGAGAGGGATTGTTTTCTAGTTTGTGTCTTAAAGTCACTTCTTTGCATGAAATATATATCTTTATATAGAGATTATTTTGAAATTTTGAATTATACAGAAGATACTTTTCTCTACTCAGTTTGTATTCCAAACTTTCGTTATGGAATAAAATCAGATATCATTCACAGGAGTTCTACTCTAAATTAATGGTAACAAATTGCACTTACATGCAACACTGTCATCCTCACTGGTAGACATCGATGTTTCGCCCTTGCCTAAGGGCTCTTCAGTACTACTCTGGATAACATTATAGAAAATACACACAATTCATTCATGAATTACGGTTTTTAATGTCACGCAATAAATTCGATCTACTTATGTCATTGACTATTGTATACAGTTACTTATTTTCAAATTTATTGCTTCCTTTCTTTTTTTGAAAGATTCCCAATTTTTTTTTGTATAAAGATGCAGAAGTAAAAAGCCAAAACCTTTCTTTCCCAAAAATTAACGTCTCCTAAAAACCCCTATCGATTCAATTAGACTCCTATGGCTTGGATTAAATCAAATGAACAAATGAATATTGTTCAAAGTACAAAATACAAGCACTACAGGACTATCCTCAGTGCGCTCTAAGAGCGGTACCTGTGCGAAACTAGCGATTCACGTTGAATGTGAATCGCTGGAGGTTAAATTCATTTAGAAAAAAGTTCTTAGGAAGTTCATTTCACATAAACGCAGTTCCACAAATGAAAGAGTTCTCAAACAGTTAAATTAGGGGTGTACTGAGTTGAACCTCAAAACGATGAGCAGTCACAGTCCGTCGCGTATTTCTGATATGTACCGCTCTTGGAGAATTCAAATATGCCAAGTTACTTGAACACTTCCAGTTAAAGTATTTATCAGAAAGTCGCAAATCTTAGGGACATAGTTGCATCAGACTTTCATATAATCTGGAAATGGCTGAATCCTAAATTACTCACAATTAATGCTGATAAAACACACTTCCTATCATTTATTAAAGAAATGAACTTTAAACGTTCAAGCCAGTTTGAGGACTGGCAGTAAACAATTCTAAAGAAATGAACTTTGAACGTTCAAGCCAGTTTGAAGACTGGCAGTAAACAATTCTAAAGAAATGAACTTTGAACGTTCAAGCCAGCACACTGACTGATAAGAAAATCCTACCATTTTGCTGCAATAGGACAACTTTCCCTAACTTCGATAAAATTCAAGTTAACATTCCAACAGAACAGTTTGTTATCAAATCAGCAACATCTTCAAAATATTTGGGAGTTCACATAGATACGCATCTCAAGTGGAACATTCATATCCAATCTCTATGCCAAAAGCTGAGATTCATTCTCCACAAGTTTAAAGTCGTGGCATCCTCACTACCACTAAAGCAAGTAAAAATACTGTATTATGCCCTAGTAGACAGCCATCTTCGATACGGCTTATTAGTATGGGGTGGTGTCCTAAAAACTCATTTATATCCTATAGAAGTCCTCCAAAGATGGTTTTTAAAAATTATTTAAAAAAATAACCCACTTTTCCATCTGATGCTCTCTATGCGGAAAGTCATGTATTTGACGTCTACCAACTCTTTTTTCAGAAAATAAATATGTGTGACCACCAAAAACAAAAATTTGAATTACCCACACATGCATAGGATACACTTCAACGAAATCAACATATCACACCACAAATGCAAAAACTGATATCCCAACGTTCATATAAATATTTTGCTCCAAAACTATACAACACACATTCACATGAAATCAAATTGATTATGAATCCACATCGCTTCAAGAAAGAACTGAAATCTATCATACATAGAGAACCCCGGAAAAAATTTCGTGAAGTTATTGATAGCCGACTCGAATGATGAATACTTTTTATACTCTTTCATCTCTCCTCTCATTCACTACTCGCTAGTATGTAACCTTAGGTATTACAATATTAAACTATAGGTAATAGGTATACGTTTATATTTCTCCAATGTAATATTATGGATATTGTCTTTCGTTTATTTAATTAGTTATTTTAGTTATTGAATTAATTAGATGATATCTTGAGGTTGCAGTCAAGGTCAAGGATGAAAACTCTTTGCTAGTTTGTCATTTTCTTCTTCAGGACAACTGAAAAGATGATTGTAAAAATATATGTATGAAACGTTACATATATAACCTACTCAACATGAGATTAATATAAAAAATTAGCAGTAAATCGAACGAAAAATAATTTGAAAGTTAATTTTGACATGAATCAATAAATGACAATTATTTGTTGAAGAACATTTTTCAAATTGATTGCTTCTTTCCTTCCTTTGGAAGATTCCTACATTTTTTTATGTCAACATGGAGAAGTAAAAAGCCAAAAACTTTCTCTCCCATCCAAATGGATATTGTCGAATTAAGTTTGTGTGAGATGCTGAAGAGAAGAAGATTCGTTGAGTGAACATCATTTCTTGCACCTCGCTACTATTATCTTCTCTAAAAAATGACTGATGCACGATTCATAAGCCATATGTTGCGATTCATAACCTTCTTAAATCAAACTTTCAATGAATCTATAGAGTTCTGCATGTTATCTATTCTTGCATATAATATTAAGACATTAATGGGGTATGAATATTCACAAATCGTGACTTTTACGTAAATTATATGTATAATAAGCTAGACCCCAAGTTTGAGCACTGAAGAATACCAAATTTGCTAAAAAAGACGATCAAATACCTTTTTGGCCTTATCATTGGTGCTGATTACCATCTGAAGTCTCGTATCAGCTGGTATAATCCCACTATTTTCATAACTATCCTCCAAGTTACCGATATTTTCATTAATTCTGGCATTTGTCTCATAATGTTTCAGTTCCATTAGTAGTGCCTGTTTTTGAGTGAGAAGTTCTGAGTAAGTTTCCTCTCCTTTACCAAACCCGGATCCGTTTGTTAATGTTTTCGTTGTGGTGTATCCTCGAACTGAAACGATGTTCCAGAGTGAGCCATCAACAAGTACTCTTCCGAATTTGTTTCAAAATGCCTCATTGAGAACACACCAAGACGGGTCACTTTTACTTTCGAAATGGTCAACATACTCGATAAAATTATGAAAGCAAAATGCATATAACCCGTAAGCAAGGTTACTGTCCCCCCAAAATAAAATAATTAGGTAGTTTGTAGCAATTTCAAGAACATTTCCACAAACGAATCAATCAAATGACATACCCAGAGAAAGAGTAAGTTTGTTTGGAAAAAATTTCGTTGTTACATATCGAAATGCTCTATTTTCTAAATCTGTTCCTTCAATTACGGACTAAGGATCGCCTCAATATATTTATTCAAAGTCTGAATTATTTTATCTGAAATTTTAAAATATCAATGAACGCCATAACCTACCTTACAACTGCTGCTTGTTGGCACTTCAGCAATAGTTGACGACAGAGAAAAGAAGGCCACTTTTTTATAAAAGTATCGACTGTGATGGAGACACTACTAGATTTCTTCAAATTATTCAATCATACATAAAAGAATATTTCTGACAAATCTCGTGAAAAATTCTTCGAATGTTCAAAACTTGTGAATTGGTGTGTAAGGAGGAACAATTAGTATGCCATTTAATAATATCTTTCAAATAATTGTAGAGATTGTAGCTTTAGATCGCTCTCCTAGAACACTTCGAATGATATTAAAATCTTATACATTCAATTTTTGTAAAAATGGCACTAGTGTTTGAGGTCAAAGGAGTGAGTTGGTTAGGTGTATTGACCTGTTGTAATTCATCATAAAACATTGTCGATCCTATAATATCATGAATATTCAGAGAAAAATTTGAATTTCTAGACCAGCATTTTCCGATTGAATCGATGACTTGAAGGGAACCTCTGAAATGGTCATCTACAACGGCAGATCTGATATTTGCTTATTTTTTCCCACTTCGTCAACTAACAAAATTGAATTCATCCTACGCCAATACTTTCATTGGAGTATTTTCACTTGAAATCATTACTAATATTATATTAAGTTGATCCACAATTTGTAGAAATGTGGAGGACAACAGAAAAATAAACCAATGTATTTATCAATTAATATCATTGTAACTTTTGAAATATATCTATTGTTGCTATTTTTATTCAAACATTAAATTTTGAATTTTCCACCATACTTATCGGAAAAGTATTGCAATTGGTAGAAAAGGTCAAGATATGGGTTGAAAACAAATGTTTGCGGCTGGTTGACATGTTCAAAAGAATTTGTTTATACAGATTCGTATTCACAGTCATTGATTCAGAAATATCATTGGGGGTTACATCTCAACCTCAACTTAGTTTTCTCTCTCAGATTGTGAACAATTTAGACGGTTACCTAACCTAACTATCTACTTGACTTTCAACACATTTAGCATAAATGTTTGTGTTTACCAGCCTGTTAAATGGCCAATGAATCGTAAAAAAAACAGAACTGAAATATCGTGAACCACTTTTGTTTATCTCAACTTTCTAATTTGAAATGAATTTACCACAAGGCAATATTTTCACCATCAGTTTGTAATTGTTGATAAAATTATTTTTGGTATCTGTCTCATAACTTGCGATCTATAGATCAAGTATTCTCTGGAAAATATCACTTGGACTCATTCCCCATGTGAAAGAACTCCCCACCTACATTACACTTTACAAAGAATTAATAATCAGATCTAATGAATTTCAGCATTTTATTCACGAAGGTGCTAAAGAACAACTTTTGAGTGACACAGCTTGACAATGTCAAGTTGGCACTCGATCTTTCGAAATTGTTTTCATTTAGGAATTAACCCATATCAGGTGGAAAAATATTTTTATAGGTTAAAATACAAGAAATCGTATTAGCAATTTTTAAGGAAAAATTCAAAATCACCATTGGACTGGGCACCCTCTCAGAAAAATATTTTGTAAAGCGATATAAATTAGTGATTTATCATGGGAGAACTAAGTGTGTGAGATAAAATTGAACTTGTGCGCATCTTCGGAGATAATGCTCTTTCGGCAAGAGAAACTGCAAGAGAATTTCATAACACACATCCTGATAAACTTCCAGTGAGCAGCAGTACGGTGAACCGTATAAATTTTGTTTTTAACGAAACAAGTTGTGTATTGAGGCATATGCTCAAAAACGGAAAGAATCGACATCGTGAGAATATAAATGTTGTGTGAATATTGTAATATTTTCGTAATAATCCTCATTCAAGCTTGCGAACGGCTAGTTTGAACTCAAATACCCCAGAGAAAATATCAGAAGATACTTTGTGAAAAATAAGACAAAAATTTTACACACTCTGAATAGGGAGATGAAGAAAGAAGGTTAGAATNTTTTTTTAAACAAAATTTGTAGAGAATTTTGTATTCTACAATATTGATAAAAAATACAAATGGCAAAAAACCCATAGGAAATGAGATATTTCCAAAAAAAGCGCAAAAAACCGATTTTTGTGACCTTTGACCTTGAAATTTAATAGTTGCGTACACCCTACCAAATGTAGGTTTCAAGACAACTTTTAGGGTGTCAATATATAAGTATTTACAGACTTACAGCTGGGTATCTCGAATTCCGAGATTCTTACCTAATTTAAGCTTAAATGACTGGAGTAGTAATGATCGATGAGCCAGTCTGTAATGAGACGTCTTTTAGTGTAAATACCTTCTCCTCCAGAAGAAACGCAAATGAGATCTGTTTTTCCGATGGACCGATAATCTCCTTCAACGATTCCAGACACACCGGAATTCAACGTATCTTTGAAAAATACTTCACCAGTTTTGATAGAACGGCAGTCCATCTTCCCATTGGACCAGCCGGTGATGAGTTGGGGAAAAGATTGTCCCAGAAGGTCATAGAAATGGATGGAAATTGCAAAATGTTTGGACTGAAAGGAAAATGAACCAGGTAAGTTTCTATGGTTGATGGTCTGGAGAGTAACAAATCATACGAACCGTTTCTTCAGCTGATTCCACTATTGTTACCTCGGAAATGGTAAGACCTACAAGATTAATGAAATAAGATGAAAGTTGCTTTTCAAAATGATATGAAAATGAGGCAGGTGGACTTTTTGTGTTCTTTCTTGTTCGTTATGAACCAATTTTCGATGCGACTTTTTTCAGTGAAATCCATCATCAACTTATTTTCAATGAGGATATCTACTTTTTCCATCAGTTTTGATAGGTAGTCACTGTGATAACAAATTTAACAATGTATTAAAAACATGCAAGATTCTTCTTCTCTAAAACTCGAAGACATACCAACAAAATTTGTCTATTCCAACTAACGCTGTGAGTCTTGTCATTTCTGAGAGAGCAATAGGATCAGCTGAAAAGCGATCTGTATGAACTTATGAGCTAAAACAGCAATATAATTAAAACGTATGAACCAAAAATATAGAAATTGTGGTCGTTATATGCAACTCAGAATGGAAAATCAGTATATAAGGAGGTCCAAACAAAAAAAAAACAATGTCGTTATCATTCTATTTAATTCCATTCCATTAGAAATATTTCAGGAAACCGTATGATTTTTTTATTGCAGATAAATACTTGATATCCATATCGGGGCTGCCATTTGCACTTGTAAACGAAGATAAGATAGATATATTTTATTTATTTAACTACTTTACAATATGTTTGTTTGTAGCACGTCAAAAAAGAAAGTCCAATAAAATTTTTTTTACAAAATTTGACAGCAAATACAGTAAAAACAGAAATTTAAGAATTGAGTTACAATATGTTACAATATGTTATTAAACTATCACAGCAGAGATGCGGCAATGCATTTGGCTCGGCGATGCGCAATGTAATCCTCAACAGTGTAAAAACAATATTTCAGGAGATACTTTTTTAAGTATTTCTCAAAGGCATTAATACTCAATTTTTTTACATTTGATGGCAATGTGTTAAAAAGCTCATAGTTCAGTGAGTTCGACTCAGAAATATTTAGTCGAAAACGGCTGATTCGGATAAGATGAGCATTGCGAGTGTTGTAGTGTACATCCGAATTTTTCGGCAACACCGACTGACTACTATGAATTTCAATTAAAGTGTGAAATAAACAAACATGGTAAAGGCATAATTTTCAATTTTTTAAAAAACTCTTGTAAAGTTCTTGAAACTAAGGAGCTCGTCATTGGATATGTTCGGAAGAGATTTAATAATATTAACAGCTATTTCACAAAAAAAAGTAATTTATCTCATGTAGTGAAAAATCAGGAGTTACTACGTATTGTTTTGATCTATTGCTTTCATAGTTAATGACTTTCCAACAAGCCTTTGCTATATTTTCAGATGACATGATGAAATTGTCATATGCAATTTTTTTTTGCAGTTTTCAACCTGTTATTATAAACTTCCCTAAGTCCCTAATTACCCTAAGAATCGTTACAAAATATTTTCATCACATTGAATTTTAAAATTTCGCCGAATGGTTTTGTCAAAAGTATATTTCGAAATGTTCAACAACTCACTCACTGTGTTGAATATATTTTAAAATTAATGACCATCCACAACTCCACAATGAAGATTTTGTACAAAACGTTATCACACTCCGAAGCACTATCGGAGTCATTTGACGGCATTTGTTAACAATTTTTTATAGAGATCTTTCAAAGAATCGGATTATGTTCTTTGGATTTCACTTCTTAAATATCCCCAGAAAATACAAAATCAATGGGCAACAAATCTGCATGGAAAGTATTGGAATAAATCAGCGTACGTTCCAAATAGTTTGAATCCTTGATTGTTCGTCAGTCTAGATGTTTGATTATCATGTGAAATAAACAATATGAATTATAAAGGTTTACCTTGACCCTCCACAATCGAACATCTTGTTCATAAACTCCAATCGTGCCATTGGAAACTGAGTAGGCTAATCTATTTTCCGGCAAGGCTACCAAGTTGGTGACAACTTCGGTTTCTACAAGTTCTGCTATCATCTGATTTCTGTCGAAAATACGTATGTTGAAATCTTCGGAACTTACTACCAACTGAAATCAAATTGAAAGTAATTATATAGTTTTGTTATATTCACCGTTCCCGCTCTACACAAAACTCATAAACCATCATTGTCTCTTCAATTGTTTCTCCGAACAGCTCAATTGGAAAATTCCTGACTGACCTTGTCAACCAATTTAATTTTTTCAATACACTGGCCAATTACTTGGTGAAAATCAATAAGACTATTATGATAATAATTACATATCTTCACAGTATAAACTTAATTTCCAAAACGCGTTTCACCATATAGATGGAGAAGTAGAAAACTGAAACCTTTCTTCCCCAAAAATTTACCTCTCCTAAAATTATACCTCTTTCAATGCAAACTATATAGCAGTTTCCTCAGATGGAGTGGCGATTAATTTGATTTTATTCCACCAGTCCAACTGTGGGAACTATTGAGAATGAAACCTATATTGTGAATAACCAACTTTATATTGAAGAATAATTTCATTCCAGTTGGACCAACAACAATTTTCTGTTACCCAATCAATATATGATCGTCAATTTTGATGTGATTCTGAATCAAACGTATTAGAAAATGGACACCAATATGTCTTGGCACAATCATGTCGCTGTAATTGCGAAGGCTGCTTCTCAAAAGCTTGAAACACTGTTCCGAACCAAAAAACTGTACACACCTCAGCTACTTTTGATGATTTATAAAGCTCAGATCAGACCTTTTTTGGAGTATTTTTCTCATGTAAGGAGCATACCGTGAAACTGCTAGATTCTATCCAGAAAAGAGCCATCCGCCTGATTGGAGACGCGAACATCACTTGGAACATTGAAAAAAGGTTGGAGATTTGTCACTCTTCTGTAGATACTTTCACGGGAGGTGTTAAAGTGACTCAGTACATTTGATTCCACCAAGAGCGGTACATATCAGAAATACGCTTCGAACTGTGGCTGCCCTTCGTTTTGAGGTTTAACTCAGTACGCCTCGAACTTCACTGTTTAGCAACTCTTTCAATTTGAGAACTGCGCTCGAGTGGAATAAACTTCCTGAGAACATTTTTCCAAACGGATTCAACCTCCAGCGATTCAATTCCAATGTGAATCACTACTTCCGCACAGGCACCGCTCTTAGGATTTAAGGATTTTCCTATAGTGATTGTGTTTTGTCTTAAAAAAAACAATAATCAATATTTCAAATAGATTTGTGGTATTTCCATGGATTCGATTTTATATCCAACTTTATGCAGTTTTCTATTAGATGACCTATTAATTGACATTTCTAATTATTTAGAATATTATATTTCTTTCATTAAGAACTGTGTAGATGACATGATCTTATCTTTTCCAGAAGACTAATCGAAAACACCCTTATCTTTAACGCCTATAATATACACCTACAATTCACATGTGAAGAAGAAGTAGAAAAATTCCTGCCTTTCCTTGACATTAAATTTTTCAGTTATGAAGATAACATTCTTTAGACAGAGTGGCACAGGAAATCCATGCGTAACAATAGGTTCATCAGTTAGTTTTCTCATCATCCTTCGAACATGAAAACCAAGTTAATTTTAGCTCTTTAGGAAAGAGTGATTAATTATTTATCTCATAAAAATTTCATGGAAAATGATCCTGAATTCTCTAGAAATATTCCAATAGAAAATTCTTGTCATGCAAAACTTTTGAATGACTATTTATTCAACTAATCATAGTTCAATCATTATTCAAATAATCCAAATACATCTAATTTAACGTTACCGATATGAGAAGTGTGATTTCTAAACCCAATAATTTCCCTCTTTTGAACAGTAGGTACTAATATTTATATATAATTAAATTCAACAGTCGTCGCTTGAGAATAAATAGATTGAGACCATTGGATGCGGAGATCACTGACGAGGCTAGGAGAGTAGCCAGGGTGAGAATCCGGCGTCAAGTCACAAAACCCTTGAAGCGTGTCACACACCAAGGAGTAGGCAGATTGAGACCTCAGTGTAGCCATAATCCTTGGAAAACATTACAATAAATTGTTACTGAAGTATATGAATATTACTGGTGTTTCTTCCCAACACCGAACCGTTATTTTAACACCTCGACATGTGTTTCGATCAAAAAGTGATCATCTTCAAGAGGAAAATCATACTAATCATACTTACAAAACTATCCTTATTTATACCATATATAACTGTTCTAGGTACCTGCGTCTTTAGTGTCTTAAATCAATTTCACAAAGTTTGCCCCATCTACAAGTCTTAAATTAATTTTACAATGTTCCTTATGTAATAGTCAGGTAAATCCAATAATTGAAATATTATAGGCTATATAAAATTAATTTCACAATACTGTCTTATCTACTAGTCTTGAATTAATTTTACTACATGTCCTTATGTGATAGTTGGGTGAATCTAATAATTAAAATATCATAAGCTATATGAAATTAATTTTTACTCGTCTTAAATTGATTTTACAATGTGTCCTTATGTAATAGTCAGTTAAATCTGATGAAATATCATTTTAACAAGCTATATAGCATGCTATTAGGTACTGGTCCACCATCGTTATTCAAAATATTATTATTTTTACTTATTTCTACACTCTCATAGGCATCTAGATGCTTGTTGTTGTTAACTTGTGTAACTAATCTCAATGAACTGAAGTCTATGGTATAGTTTTGTTGCAAAATATGATGAGCGACTGCTGATTTTTCAGGCCTTCCAAATTTTAAGTGTGTTAAGTGTTCCTTACATCTTATTTCAATAGATCTTTTTGTCTGTCCATAATATTTTGCATCGCAGTCGTTATATGCAATGCAAAATATTATGGACTTTTCTCAAGTTGCAGGTGTATGCGAATAAACCATAAATCACATCAGTCCTTAAAGCCAACATAACCCTTGCGATCGGTAAAATTCAGCCTGATTCATACGCCAGAGTCGTGGAAAATTGAATGTTTCGGATGCGCTACACCCAGAGAAGCCGTGGCAGACATTCGAACTATGTTTTATTCCACACATAATGACATCAATAGAACTTTCAAATGAATGAAAGTTTTTCATGATGTCTCACACATACTTTGTTTTATTTAAATTTAAAGACAGGAATCGCTTAATGAAATACCTTATATTGATAATGTAATGATTGAAAGGCAACAGAACAGAACATCTTAGGTTACCAGAAAGTCAGTTATGACTGAGTGAATTCTTTTGATATAATGAATAAACATTTGATCAAAAAGTATATTTACCTCGTTTGAGCTATCCTTATTGTAATCCATCAATGTCAATGATGTAACAATATCTCCGATTGCGGTCCAGAACATTTCATTTCCTAAATGATCGTATCCGTGCACTGATGAATTTCCTCCCACCATGATAATAGATTTACTGTCTTTGAATGTACCAAAGACGATGGATTTTACACCATCAGGGCACTCTTTGTAGAACACATCCTTGTTATCGTGGACATGGTAAACAAGTATATTCAAGCTAGTTCCTGAAATGTTGAACTATAATTTGGTTGTGAACAAAGACTAGGCTAAAGAAATTAAGTCAAGTTAGTATGGTTGATAGGTAAACACAAAAATACCCATTCACTGCATTACCTAATAGTATATTAGACTCAC